GGTCCGGTAGGACCCGTGTGACTCGAAGATGTAACAAAAAAGGAGTAGAGCCGTGAAGATGAGGAGGAGACCTAAGTTTCAGAGTGAGGCGGGAATGCTTGAAAAACGGATGTAGATATCAAATGTAATAAATTTAATACCTTTTCCTTATCCCGAATGCAAGCTCCTTCTGTGCTGGATCCAGAGGAAGGTCATACAGCTCTCTTGTTCGATACCTTTCCTCCACATCTGTATAGCTTCAACACAATTGTAAGCCCAGAGGTCACAAAGCCGTCAGATACTTTCTTTTTGCTTTTTTCTTTGAATAAAAGGAAAGCTTCACCTCCTCCTTTTGCTCTATATATAACGAAGCATGCTATTTGTTTATTAAAAAAAAAAAAATGAAAAAAAAAAGGAAAACTTCACCTAGTGGTCACAGCTCTCTCAGATACTATTTCGTTTGTATTATCACAATGCTCCCTTGCGCTTTCCTCCTCCTCTTTTCTTCCTCGAAATATGTGTAGAAGTAACTATTTGATGGTTTCATGGAAATTATCAAACCCCTCATCCATTCCATCTGGCAGCAAAGAGCATATTTTTGAGGGCATAATCCTGCTGTTGCCACCTTTTCTCTCTTTACTCCTCATGGCCAATTTGTAAACTTTTATGACAGTCACTATTAGATCTTTGACCTACTCACATTTTCTCTTCAACAGCTAGAACTCAATGCATTGATTTATGACAGTCACTATGAGATATTTGACCTCCAGATACTCACATTTTCTCTTCAACAGCTAGAACTTAATGCATTGATCCAGTGGCCCATATTGTGAATCAGTCACTATTTAATTCCTAATGGATGAGCAGCACATGCTACATTCGCACCAAGTACCTTGATCAGCATCTTGTGCAGCGTGCTTGGTCTAAGGACGAAATGCTGTAAATCCCACTGAGCCAGAAGAGGAACAAGTTCCAGTAGCTCCAAAAAGTTATGTGATGGTAAGTTGGAATACCAACTATTGGGGACCAGGCACCTCAAAAATGCGAACACGCCGTCGGTGAGCGCTAAGGGAGCTCAGCACTATGTTGCGCTGGATACCCGCCAGACCTGTCGGGCAAGTGCCCACAGGAGTCCGACCCCAAGCCCGCCGGCTTGCCGGCCCCCACCACCCGCCATGGCGCTCAGCCGCACCGCGCGCCATGTTTTCGAATTACGAACTCGGAGATACCAAGCTGCCATCGCCATCATCCAGCCGATAGCTTGCGCCCCAGGCGCGAGCGCTCACCCTCTCCACTGCTGACGCCGACGGGATATGGAGGAGTGTTGGAGGCCACCTCGCCCCCATCCGTTATCGAACTCGGCCACACCGTCCCGCCTCAAAGCTTATCATGGTACAGCCACCACATCTGCCACCTCCATAGCCATCGGAGCTGCCACCTCCATAGCCATCGGAGCCGCCACATCCGCAGCCAGTCAGGAAGGAGCCGTGAGAGCCCTCGAACACGCTAATACGTGTATGAGGTTGCCGGATCTACCTCCCAAGGAGCCGCAGCTACCTCACCAAACCCATCTCGCTACTACCATCATCGCCTCCTCGAACCAAAAGCCCCAATGGAGCAAGTTACCTCGCAGGCAATCTCCAGCAGTAAGTATTGACGCATCACAACCCCAAGGCATATCAGAAAAGGGGATACGACTACCCCCCCC